CACACATTGTCCGTCACGTTGTGAGCGTCTGATATATATATATATACCAGACAAACATATATCTAGTAATCTCCCGACAATTCACGAAGATTCGAGAGAACGAGTGGCGTAACACTAGTCACGTGACCTCGATGACGCAACAGTATCTAGTAAAATATTATGGATGTTTTTATGCTTCTTATTTGAAAGAGATGGACAAGACACATTCATCGGAGCCTGGACAAATTTAGAACATTAGTTTACGCCAATGTTACGTACATACGTGTACAGAACACACAACCCACTATGGTGTTGATCACCTCTGTCTTTCATTCCTGGTGATTCACGGATCGGTTTTTAGGTCTTTTGGTAGACCTGGAAGGATCAGGTCCACTCTCGACCCCTTCCTCCCCTGCACTATGTTAAATATAGTGCTGAAGAATAGTTGTCTAATTACGACATGGAGATCAGAGGTTATGCAATTTGCACTTACTCTGACCCCTTTCAGAGCCATGTCCATTTATGGTAATCAAAAAAATATTCGATATGGAGAATATACTTTCTTTTAGTTCGTTTTGCGCAAAGTCATACATATAGCGAACAGTTCCGGTTATATTTTCCGCATTTTTCGTTAGTTTAATTACCCTTCAGAGCGTTGTTACATGAACTACCCTTTTTTTAATGCTCTCCTGGTTAATAAACTAATGATGAGTTGTAATCTTAGTGATAGGTGGCCTGTGCATTCCTCCTTTAGTACGCTTTCGCGTTTTGATATTTGTGGAGAAAGACAGAACAGACAGAAGAGGGATTCGTCCTCTAACCCGAGGACAGGTGGGTCACATATAAACACCTCTGCCACTTAAACTTTTATATTTTCTTGAGTTTCTTCACTTACGTAATAAAATCTTCAATCTGCTTTTACACATATAGATTGTACAAGTTGCACATTATTTAAAGATGTATAATACTTGTATATTAAATTAAAAAGACTAAAATGATAAAAATAAAATAAATAAAAATAATAAAATAAAATAAATTAAAAAATTTAATATAAAATAATTGTATAAGTTAATTATTTTAAAATTTGGAATTCTTGATTAAATTTAAATATTTTGAAATTCGAATAATTTCACGTATTTATTTAATTTCACCTTGTTGAGTTAAAATTGTAATTTTTAGATTTTTAATTCATAATAATGTAAACTTAATGGCGAATTATACTTAGTGATTTCTTTGAGCATAGTATTATTTTAATTTCTTTTAACAAAAATCAGTGTCTATTTTTATTATAATACTCATGAGTTAAACACTTAAACCACTGATCTAATAATGGTATTGAAAATTATTGGTGCAGGAATTTTATTGGTGTACTTAAAGGTGAGTTTGTAGCTAATTGTAGAACAGAATTTTGTAGTGTTTGTAAAGTTTTAAAAAATGTATCAGGTCATCCCATAAGTTCTGTCCGGATTTTAATTCTTTGAAATTTACTAGTAAGTTAGAATGTTTAATGGAAATAAAAAATATTTATATATCATACATATGTATTTGGGCATATTTAAACTTATTAAATTTTATTTTACAGAATAAAGTATTTCAAATTTCACTGATTAAAGCCCTTTGAACATGGATGTATCTAAGGAGCATTTGAGGCATATAATGCTTT